CAATTGTGGGGCTGTTTATCCAAGATGGACGTAAGCTGTTCAACGTGAACAAAATACATGGCATCTAACTTGAAAATCATTCAAAACTAATTTTTAATAAAGAATTGCAACTACTTAGAAATTAACAAAAAGCATGTTGAACTGGTAAACTTGATTATTTTTCAAGTTATTTATTATCACTGCAACATATGATTTGATTGTATCCTATGGTATTTTAATTCATGTTTAATTTTATAAATGTTTTGAAAAGTGCTATTCATTACTTCTACCACCAGATGGCCACAGTGTGAATGCAATACTGTACACAGGTTTGTTTAAAGTTGCCATGAAAAAAAAAAGTAGGATTGTCCTTTTTTCCCCGAAGTGTGACATACACTCACCGTCCACTTTATTAGGTACACCTTACTACTACTGTGTTGGACCCCCTTTTGCATTCAGAAATGTCTTAATCATTTGTGGCATAGATTCAACAACAAATAATCTGCCAATGGGGTAAGCAAAATAATCTTATCACAAATCGAAAATCAAGATTATTTTGCTTACCCCATTGGCAGATTATTTAGCTTGATTTGAGGAAAAACTCACTTCATTTTGGCATATTCTTTCTTAAAACAAGACAATATGTTTTGCTTGTCTAGAAAATGCTTCTTGATTTAAGAATTTGTAGATATTTGGACTAGAAACAAGACGAAAAATTTAGGTAAGAAAATCATTTTTTGCAGTGAAGATACTGGAAATATTCCTCAGATATTTTGCTCTATATTGACATGATAGCATCACGCCGTCGCTGAAGATTTGTCGGCTGCACATCCATGATGCGAATCTCCCGTTCCACCACATCCTAAAGGGGCTCTATTGGATTGAGGGCTGGCGACTGTGGAGGCCATTTGAGTACTGCGAATTCGTTGTCATGTTCGAGAAACCAGTCTGAGATGATTCGTGCTTTATGATGTGGGGTTATAAACTAATTTCGAGAGGATCACGTGCTTATGATCAACACAGCTGACACCTCGTTAGCTCCGTAATCAGCCCTATTAGATGATTACGGAAACATTATAAATAACCAGAGTTTTTTACTCCAGTTATCTTCGTCTTGAAGTTTCCACCCCTACTTCTCACCCTATTTTCCGATAGGGCAACACGGTGGCCCAGTGGCTAGCACTGTTGCTTCACAGCAAGAACACCGCTGATCCAACCTTCTATCAGGCCGGTTGGCGTTTCTGTGCAGAGTTTCCATGTTCTCCCCGTGTTTGCATGGGTTTCCCCCGGGTTCCCTGGTTTCCTACCACCGTCCAAAAACATACACCATAGCCAATCGACTAAACCAAATTATCAACAAAGACAACCTTAGTTTACACTTCTCACATGGCGACAAGCAGACCTGAGCTCGAACTCCCCTCTCGCCCTTCTAATGGGAGGGAGACCCGAGCTCGAGGATATTATGAGCTCAAGGCTCTCTCCAGAGACAGCATGCCAATTACGCTTTATTAATTATCAGCTGAGTGTGAACTCTTAGGGTGCTTTCACACCTGCCTTACGTAGTTCGATTGAATCGCATTAGAGTTCGTTTCCCCTTTTGGTGCAGTTCGTTTGGGCAGGTGTAAATGCAGCAATCGTACTCAAGTGCGCACCAAAAGCGGACCAAATAAGCGTACCGAGACCTGCTTGAAGACGTACTAAAACAGGTCCAACCGCAAAAAGTACCGCTTGTTTTGGACTAATTCAGCTGCCGTAGGCAGATGCGCTGTGCATTATGGGATATGGAGGAAAAATATTTGTTGACAGCGCTTTACCAACAGAGAGAGAGAGAGAGAGGGGAAAACACTACGTTGGTAATATTTCCGCAAGATGACCATGTTGCAGTTTAGCTAAATGAATTCACGGCTCCTCCTGAAGTGACGAGGGATGCATTAAACACTGTTTTTTCAGCCGCGGCCGCGCTTCATTTTCTTAATGTATAGTTTGTCTAAAGCAGAGATACAATTAGCCAGCGCAGTCGTCCCTCCAGAGTAAAAGGTTTTGTTTACCTGCGGGAGTTCACTGGCATTTTCCCGCACGTGAATTCTGACCAATCAATAAGCAGTTTGGGAAATATGTTCAACAACATCTGGCCAATGAGAGATGTGGATTTTGTCAGATGACTGCATTTTGGTTCGTTTCAACCGGTTCGGACCAAAGCTAGCAGAGTGGTGTGAAAACGACCCAAAGACGGCAGAAGATGCAACAACGAATCATTTATTGCGCTTGGTCCGGACCAAATTAAGCAAACTACAGATGTGAAAGCACCCTTAAAATGGTGCGTTATCCTGCTGGAAGTAGCCATCAGAAGATGAGTAGACTGTGGTCATAAAGGGATGGACATCGTCAGTAACAATACTCAAGTAGGCTGTGGTGTTGACACGATGCTCAATTGGTACTAATAGGCCCAAAGTGTGCAAAGAAAATGTCCCCCACATCATTACACCATGACAGCAGCCTGAACCATTGATACAAGGCAGGATGGATCCATGTCATATTCTTACCCTACCGTCTGAATGTTGCAGCAGAAATCAAGACTCATCAGCCCAGGCAATGTTTTCCCAATTTTCCATTGTGCAGATTGGTGAGCCTGTGCCAATTGTAGACTCGGTTTCCTGTTCTTAGCTGACAGGAGTGGCACCCTGTGTGGTGTTCTGCTGCTGTAGCCTATTTTCATCAGGGATCGCCACAGCGGAATGAACCGCCAACTTATCCAGCATATGTTTTATGCATCAGATACCCTTTCAGCTGCAACCCAAAACTGGGAAACATTCATACACACTAATTCACACACATACACTATGGCCAGTTTAGTTTATTCAATTCACCTATAGCACATGTCTTTGCACTGTAGGTGAAACCGAAGCACCCGGAGGAAACCCACGCCAGCACAGGGAGAACATGCAAACTCCACACAGAAATGCCAATTAGTCCAGCCGGGACCAACCAGCGACCTTCTTGCTGTTAGGTGACAGTACTAACCACTGAGCCACCGTGCCGCCCTATATTTATAATATAGGGAAAAATGATTTGTCAATGTATATTTAATCCCTATATGAGGAGAATAGCGTTGTAGCACTGAAACATTTATTTTATGAGGGAAATCAACTGTGGACAAACCTAAATTATGTTCATTCGATAATTGTACATGTGATTTATTGGGTATTGCAAAATTTGAAGCACTTGATAAAATTGACCTTAATCTATATGCATTTGTTGATATGGATGGATGTCAAAATTTAATAAAGTCTACTGACTCACATTCATCATCATAAATATTGACAAAAAATTCAGATTTTGTATTTCATTCATTCATTTTCCTTCGGCTTAGTCTTTATTTCAGAGGTCATCACAATGGAATGAACTGCCAACTATTCCAGCATGTGTTTTACACAGCGGATGGCCTTCTGGTCGCAAACCAGTACTGGAAAACACCCATACTTTCTCATTCACACACACATTCATACACTACGGCCAATATAGTTTATTCAATTCAACTATAGCATATGTCTTTGATTGTGGAGGAAACCGGAGCACCCGGAGGAAATGCACGTGAACACATAGAAAACATGCAATCTCCACACAGAAATGCCAACTGATCCAGCAGGTACTCAAACCAACAACCTTCCTGCTGTGAGGCGATTGTGTTAACCACTGAGCCACCATGCCGCCCAAACTTAAATTATGTTTGTTCAATGTTATGAATATACATGTGATTTATTAGGTATGGAACTTAATCTATGCATGTATTGAAATGGATGGATCTCAAAAATTAATAAAGTGTTCTGACAGACATTCATTCATGTTCATCATAAATACTGTAAAAAACACATGTTTAGTATTTAACCTCCACAATTTTTATGTAGTGGCTATACAAGAAAGCGAATAGAAGTCTTTTTATCAGTTATGAGAAAAGAGCGTTGCTTTTGATACAGGAAACCAAATTTTTTATGAAGATCCTTACAATTTGTTATGAATATACAACCTGTTTATCTATCTATCAAATTGTATGTGGGCAGAATCAACAAATGGTAATAATAAATGTTTAAAAAGCACTGTAATACTTTCGAAAATCAAGACCTCTATATATATATATATATACAGTTGAAGTCAGAATTATTTGCCCCCCTTTAAATTTTTTTTTATTTTATTTCCCAAATGATGCTTAACAAAGCAAGGAAATTTTCACAGTATGTCTAATAATATTTTTTGTTCTGGAGAAAGTCTTATTTGTTTTATTTTGGCAAGAATAAAACCAGATTTAATTTTTTAAACACCATTTTAAAATTAAAATTATTAGCCCTTTCAAGCTACATTTTTTTCCAATAGTCTACAAAACAAACCATCATAATACAATAACTTGCCTAATTACTCTAACCTGCCTAGTTAACTTAATTAACATATTTAAACCTTTAAATGTCAATTTAAGCTGTATGCAAGTGTCTTGAAAAAAATATCTAGTAAAATATTATTTACTGTCATCATAGCAAAGATAAAATAAATCAGTTATTAGAGATGAGTTATTAAAACTATTATGTTTAGAAATGTGTTGACAAAATCTGCTCTCCATTAAACAGAAATTGGGGAACAAATAAACAGGGAGGCTAATAATTCTGACTTTAATGTAAATATATATATATATATATATATATATATATATATATATATATATATATATATATATATATATATATATATATATATACATATATATATATACATACATACATACACATATACACACATATACACACACATATATATATATATATAAATCCATGCCTAATATCTGATGGCCAGAAAGTGATTGATTTTAAATAAATAGGTAAATTATTAGTGTCTGGGAGGCAGCAAGTCCTGAGACTGTTTTGTACACCATGATCTTATATAAAATTTACTACTAATGTGTGATATGTAGAATATTTTCTCAACTCAAATGAGTAGCAGCTTAGACCCGGAAACAGTATTTCATACGTCACGACTTAACAAGCGGATAAAAAAATGCATTTAATTAGTGCTTCAGTGTTAAATTGCACATTTAAAATGCCTAAAGTGGACACAAATAAAGTGAATGCAAAACATTATATTTCTGTTTATTTACATGCATCACTATTTACACGAAACTGTTCTCCCTACTCATGTCGACCCATCAAGTCAAGCTGTGAAGAATTCACAACAAATATTTTGGCCAGAAGAATAATTCTTAGAGCTTTTCTAAACCACCTATAAAAGAATGCGTAAACAAAAGGGTTGCACAGAGAATTAAAATACCCAATCCACAAAAGCACATCAAAAACAGCCGGTGATATTGTGTAATCGATGAACGGATCCACTAAATTGCAGAAGAAAAAAGGTGAGATGCTGATAAAGAACACCCCCATGATGATAGCCAGCGTTTTGGTGGCCTTCCCCTCACTTTTGTTCACAGATAAGCTGTTTTTCTTGCTTACACTTTGTATAGATTTGGACTGTCTTCGTGCAACAAGTAGAATTTTTAGATATATGCTGACAGCGATTACTGCAGGAAGGCCGAAAGCAAGGAATGAAGACGTAATACTTGCTGCAGGGGTTTGAAATATAATGCAAGCTCCATTACAAGCGACATTATCAAAATAAAAGTCTTCCGATCCCATAATATTGAGTTGTAGAAATACCATCGCAAATCCAACAAAGGCCGCCAGACCCCAGCTTAGAGAAATCATCGTGAAGGAAACCGGCGGTGTGATTTTACTTCGATATTGGAGAGGGTGACATACAGCATAATAGCGATCGATAGAAATAAAGGATATGTGCAAAAGAGATGCGATGCATAGCATAATATCAACGCTGCTGTGTATCTTACAGAACAAATCACCCAGATACCAGCAGGTCTGGATGGAGCGCAGCATGCTGGGAGGCATCACAACTCCTCCGATTAGCAGATCGGCCACAGCCAGAGACAAGATGAGGTAGTTAGTCGGTGTGTGAAGCTGCTTGAAATGAAGGATGGCTATGATGACCAGCAGGTTTCCGCATACTGTGGTGAGCGCTATGGCACTGAAGAACAAGTAGAGCATAAGTTGGATCTCAGATGGGTAGATATATCTCACACAGGAGTTGTTGATCGACTCAAAGCAGAGAACAAGCCCAAATTGAGTCGCTGTTGAATTGCTTAGGTCCATCTCTGGCTGGACATTGTCTGTTAGAAAACCAACAAACGTAGATCTTGAAGTCATACAACATACATTGAAAACATTGACATAAGATCAACAAATGGTTATTTATTATATATTATAATAAATGTTTTGTTTAATATAAGTTGAAGTTTGCATCTATATGTACTGTAAACTAACTCATTACTAGTCAATCGAATTAGTTAGCTAGTTGACTTATAGTCTATAGAATGTTTAAAGCTGACCATCAAAATCAAGTGTAACCAGACAATCTACTAATACTTTATATGAATAATTCACCCAAATATAAAAACATTCCTCTTCATTTATGATGAATTAACATACATCTCTTTCAATTGTTAAACACAAAACAAGATATCCTGAAGAACATTTAAAAAAAAAAAAAACATAGTGGGGACAAAACATACTATAAATGTCAACGGCTGATTTTGTTTTTCCAAAATCCTTTAGGATATCTTTCTTTGTGTTCAACAGAAGAAGAAAAGAAAAACTCAAACAGGTTTGAAACAAGTGGAGGATGAGTAAATGATGATGGAGTTTTCATTTTTGGGTGAACTATCCCTTTAATGACAATTATTTAAAATAAATTATCTAAAGGGAAGCAACAAAATAAACAGGTACCATTACATTAGATTTCATAGCCATAACCACACAATAATACTATCAGCTTTGCAGCATGAATGTAAATCATACCATTAGACATTGGTAGCATAGATCTTTCCACTGCATATAAGAGTGAATGTCCAGAAAGCTTATATTTATATCTCTTTCCCCCCTCCTGTATTGCATCACTACTGTCACCACATCCATCATTTGTCAGCTTTTCCCAGAAGATCTTTTCTCTATACGGATAGTGCATTTACATTTACATTTAGCAGACGCTTTTATCCAAAGCAACTTACAACTGAGGACAAGGAAGCAATTTACACAACTATAAGAACAAAAATGAGTAAGTGCTGTAGGCAAGTTTCAGATATGTAAAGTGTAAGAAGAGAAACATTAGTAATTTTTTTTTTTGTAGTACAGTTAGCGGTGGAGCCAGAGAGGCAATTGCAGATTAGGAAGGAAAGTGGAGACTAAATAGTTGAGTTTTTAGTTGTTTCCTGAAGACAGCGAGTGACTCTGCCGTTCTGATGCAGTTAGGGAGTTCATTCCACCAACTGGGCAGATTGAATGCAAAAGTTCAGGAAAGTGATTTGTGATCTGCAGAAGTGAGAGCAGATAAGAAGGGGCGCAGCCAGAAATCGCTTTGTAAGCAAACATCAGAGCTTTGAATTTGACGCGAGCAGCAACTGGCAGCCAGTGCAAATGGATGAGTAGCGGAGTGACATGTGCTCTTTTAGGTTCATTAAAGACCACTCATGCTGCTGCGTTCTGGAGCAGCTGAAGAGGTTTGATAGAATTGCAAGTGAATTGCAAGGATCAATGAATGCCGGCTGTTAAGCTCTTATTTTACTTCCTATTTGTTCATTTTGTCTTTCAGGAGTATACTAAATCAGTAATGCAACACATATTCATTATTTTTCTATTCTTTTGTCAAATTGATTTGTACATTTTATGGAACTTTGCCCATTTGCCCAGACCAAGGCTTTGAATTGAAATAAGAAAGCCTATTATGAAAAATAAATCACATTTGAAGAAAAATGAAAGACTTATTTTAATAGTCATAATCCATTTAAGTATGTTTCATGTGAAAACAATAACATTTCCTGCAATTTACAAACACATTGTGAGCAAGATAAATGAATTGTATTCATAAAAACAAACTTTAAAAGTAATTTATCAAAAACCAATAAGATGGCATCATTGTCAAATTCTTAAAAATATTATTTGTTAAGTTTTGATAGTTTTTTAAAGTTCTCGTTTTTAAAAACCACGTTTAAGTGTATACATGGTCTTGCCCCTAAAGTAGTCTGTGAGTTGATGCATAAATTCCACAGTGATGGGGCGAAGACTAGAGGGGCAGTGGGAATTGTAGAATCCGCAGATGCAGAACCGCTGTGGGTCAGTCATCCTTTTCAGTAAAAGGTTCACATTAATGGAATGCCATGCCTGTTCATTAATGTTACAATCAGAACTCAGGATTTTAAGGACAGTTTTTTCTGTAAAGCTGAAAGAATGGTTGAAATCTTTACAGCAATGTGAGCATTAAGTATTATTCTTTCAGGTTGGTCCTGTTTACATTTCTCTTTATGCAGATTGATTTGCATTTTATGTTTGTGGCTCTGTATAGATTGTGCATGTTTGTTGTTTTGTGTTTTATTCTTGTTTTTATTTTTTTATGTAAAGCCTAACCAGGGACGAGGGCTGCAAATTAGCTTTATGCTATATGCCCTATGTACGCAACATCGGTTATCTTTGTATAACAATGTGTATTGTCCCTGTAAAATAAACAAGCAAGTAAATAAATAAATTAATTAATAGTTTTCAGTGGATTATTATAGTTAACTACAACATGAAACGAACATTATTTTTGGCTTGAAACTTATTAAATGTTCATTCATTCATTTATTTATTTTCTTTTCAGCTCTGTCCTTTCATTAATCTGGGGTCGCCGCAGCGGAATGAACCGCCAACTTATCCAGCATTTGTTTTTACGCAGTGGATGCCCTTCCAGCTGCAACCCATCACTGGGAAACACCCATACACTCCTTATTCACACACATACACTAAGGACAATTTAGCCAACCCAATTCACCTGTCCCACATGTCTGTGGACTTGTGAGGGAAACCAGAGCACCAGGAGGAAACCCACGCAAATGCGGGGAGAACATGCAAACTCCATACTGAACAGCCAACTGACCCAGCTAAGGCTTGAACCAGCAAGCTTCTTGCTGTGAGGTGACAGCACTACCTTCTGCGCCACCGCATCGCCTTACATGTTACATGGGGTAAAAATTTAACATAAACACCACTAACTCTTCCAAAGCATGCTTATCAATAAAACTCTATGGCATGCCCATGAAATCACCCATATTGGTTTGGAACCGAAGACGAAACTAGATAAATTTAGTATTACTGTTACCAGACCAACGACACAGAGTTTGTATGTTCTTCCCTATTTGGCATAGATTTCCTCCGAGTGCTCCGGTTTCCCCCACAGTCCAAAGACATGTGCTATAGGTGAACTGAATAAACTAAATAGGCCATAATTTGAATAAATGTCTATGAATGTTTTCCAGTACTGGGTTGCAGCTGGATGGTCATTCGCTGTGTAAAACATATGCTGGATAAGTTGGTGGTTCATTCCGCTGTGGCGCCCCCAGATTAATAAAGGAACTAAGCCGAAAATAGAATGAATGAATGTTATGAGACCGGCGACACGTGGCTCAGTGGTTAGCACTGTTGCTTCATTGCAAAAAAATTGCTGGTACGAGTCCCGGTTGAATTCAGTTGGCATTTCTGTCTGGAGTTTGCATGTTCTTCCCGTGTTGGTGTGGGTTTCCACAGGGTGCTCCGGTTTCTGTCACAGTCCAAAGAAACGCACTATAAGTGCATTGAATAAACTAAATTGGCAGTAGTCTATGCATGTTAATGAGTGTGTATGGATGTTTCCCAGTAGTGGGTTGCAGCTGGATGGGCATTCGCTAATCAATATCTAGCCAAATGGAACATATTCAAACCACACTTTCTGTGCTATATTTCATCTGCAACAACAATGTGACTGATACCTAGATCCGTTTGGACATTAACTTCTGAATGCAGAATTATCCAAAGACCTAAGGAGATTTCTCTGCATGAAAGACTCAAGAATCACAGATTGACCTGCTGCTCCTTCTCCAATAAGGTAGATAACTAAATGCGAAAGAAATGTGGACAAAATGTCGAGATGATTGAGAGCAATATTCTTAAAATCCTTATTTAACCCCACCGGTCCTACACCACCCAACCCGCTCCGAGCTGGGATCGAACCGGCGACCTTCTGCATGAGAGTTGGTTGCTCTAACAGGGAGGCTAAAGACCATGACCTCTAGCATCGCTAGAGCACCTTTGGAGGTCAGTGGAGTGAGGTTTACCTGCACAGAACTTACTAGCCAGCCTCTGCTACACTTAACAGATGTTTTTTGATTCCTCCAGTGAATCTGTGACCTACAGGTGTCTCTAGAGAAGTCCTGTTGTGGAAATATCTAGTAGTTATTGTCATGTCTTCATCTAAAAATATTTGCGAGCTCAGGGACTTATTAAAAGTGTTAGACTTGTTTGCAAATAGTCTGTTTATTCGCACATTCACACCTGTCCTCATTAAACTACAGAAGAACCACACATTATTCTGATTGCTCCCTACAGGAGAGAAAAAATTTGCCTGCGGCTCTGAGTATCTGGAGTTACATCATTGTGATTATGCTAATTAGATAAAACAGTCAACAAGCAACCAGTCTAGAGAAGCTTACAGACGTCTAATTAGAGTGATATATCAAATAAAGAAAAGATAAATTAATGAGAAAATGAGAAAAGAAGTAACAGCATGTCTAATGTTTTTGTATAAAAATGTATTCATACAGTAAGTAGAACAATAGCTCTGTTACAAAACTTAGTGAGAAAACTATTGTTATAGTATTGATACACTGTGTATAATTTGGACACTTTGAACTAGTGGATTAAAAAATATTAACCAAATTAAATATTTAAGTTTAACCCAAGGTCTGTCCATATTATATCCAAGCTATGTTCAAATAACCCAGTATGTTTAGAGTATATTAATAAAATATAGAAGTTTCCCCACTAAAATATGGAACCGAGCGATTTTCATTCAAATTCTAGGACTTTAAACATATATCATAGGCCTTGATTTCTTTTCCTCAAATTTGGACCATAATAACGAAGCATTTTAAACAATACACTTTTTAGGATCAAAGAGTAGTTAACCTCCAGCTGATAATCATCATTGACTTCCATGTCGAGAACTACTGGTCACCATTGAATTGCACTTCCAGAATGACTGGCTACTATTAACTTTCACTTCCAGTTGATGATCTTTTCCACTTCCAATTGATGATCATCAAAT